TTGAAACTTATAAGATTTCTAACATGCAACTCACGGAAATAGCTAAATACTTCATAATCACCTTAATTCCAATAAAAAATATAAAAATGCAACCAACAATTCACTATAATAATAAAATTCACCTCAATATGCTTCAAGAATAACTCCAATCTCAACTTAAATCGACCACATAATTCAACAATTCAAGAATGATTTAAGTAGAATCCAACCAAAATGACACAAAATCAATGAATTGCAAGCTTCACTTACCTCTAAATCCATGAGAAAGAGGGAGAAGGAAGATGATTGAGACTCCTTAAAGAACTCCAAACAAATCCTTCAAGGTCTCTAATCCTCAGCTTTAGGGCTTCAAATTACTATTCTGCTACTCAACTACAATCCTTTACACTCTCAGAAAGGCTAGAAAGAAGAAAAAGGAATTGGGATCCAACATTTATCTTAGTAACTTCTCTTTAAGTTTTTTAAATAATGAACTTATGAAGTCCACTTCTAAGAAAGACCTTATATATACCTTCTCCTAATAAGTCAAACTTGACCTCTATTCAAAGTAACTCTTAAACAACTAAAATTCATAAAAATTTCTAAATTTTAGAGTTTTCAACAATTAAATAATTAAATCATAACAATAAATATTCTAATAAAATAATAAATACTAACAAAATTCACAATGTTACATACTTTTACACACTTTTTCGTATATTTTTTTAATAATTTGTTATTTAATTGTAAATTTGTGTTGTGGTTATCTAAATTTAAGGATAATAGAAATTAATCTTCTCTTATTTTACTCTTCAATTTCTTCCATCCAAACTTCAAGTATACCGGACCAAGCCGTCCAAGATCATTCCACATTCCTTTTCAATTGGTAAGGTTTTTATTTAATTTTTTTCTTCATTTTTCCTCGTTTCATTGCATTTTAAAGTTAAATTTGAACTAATCTTTTTTTTTTTTCTCAAATCCATTTTTTTTTTGAAAAAAAAATTGTAGAAATGAGTCCGGTATGTAATATATTGATCAATTTCCTCATATGGTTAAGAAATCAAACTCAACCTAATTATTTATCGATTGTAGTAAACTTTGCTGGTCAATTACAATGTCGTTCTAATTTATTTAATAATTATGTGACTTCTCCATGGTCTTATTTTTAATTTATACATAAGTTAATTTTAATTTACAAAAAAAATTATTTAATTTTTTAAAGTTTTTCTCTTAAAAATATTTATAAGTAAATTTATTCAAATGAACAGTGGAGATGGTTATTTTACTATTACTACTACTATAGTAATAATAATATCAAAATAATAATAATATAATAATAATAATAAATTAATTTAGTATGCAAATATTTTAATATTAGATTTATAATTAGATTGTATGAATTATGTTGATAGACACACACATTGGGCAATGTTTAGATGAGTGATAGTGTGATAGGTGACAGATAAATTAAATAAAGTGAGAAAAGGGATAAAAGTAAGATGATGGAGTGAAATCTAGTATGTATGTATCTGATCTGAAAGTGCATAGCCTGACAGAAATCTTGGCTATCAAATAAGCTTTTTGGTTGGCAATTCCCAATGGGGATTCCAATTTCCACCACACTACACAATTAACCTGTTAATATAAAACGACATGCGTTGCATTCCCAATCCCCAATGCCTTCGGAACAACCCTACATCATCTTGCAATGCCACGCCTCATGCTCATTATTTTTCTTAACTCAAACCGCTACCATAACCATATATATTACGCTAATATTAGTATTCACAATTAACGATATAGTAAATATTAAATTCTTTAAGCACCTTGGCAGTGATTTAATTCCTCACATCAACAAAATATTATTGAAAAAATCAAATGATTTTAACATTTCCACGAAGAAATGATGAGTCACAACATCTTATATTCACTTATCGTGTCATCACATATTGGGTATCCTATTATCTTATTTTTAGTATATAAATCTATATAAAAATATATAAATAAAAAAATTTAGACTAAATCTCAAATTTTAATTATTCAATTATATCACCACATTGATTATGTTAAGTTAACATAATAAATTGTATTTAAGAAATAACTTAAATACAATTTCATAAGTACTGTTAGATATATATATTTTTTTTAATGAAAATTGAATTTCACTTTAGTAATATGTATTTGCATTTAATACAAATATTATCTTAAATTATCAAGATGAAACTTTAATTTTGATTAGGGAATAACACAAAAATATCTATGATATTGTATTTAAGTTTAGTTCTTATATATATGATTTTTGTTTATATTATTTTCAAATTAAATAAACAAAAAGATAATTATTTTTACTTTATTTATCTTCTTTTCATCTTTTTTTTAAAAAACCTATTTTATCTCTAAAAAAAGAATAAACCTATAAAGAAATTCTCAAGATCCCCGCATATGTAGGACATTTTATATTTTATTTTGATAATAAAATATAACTCTTTTTCACTAAATTAAATCTTATAAAAATAAAGGGATATATTTAATTAGGAGCCTACCTTTAAAGTACAGCATACGTAGGGTATCTTTGCAAAACATTATCTTTTTTACTTTTGGTTTTTCCTGCTCGATCCTTGATCCTTTCCCCCCTCTGTATTTGAAAGTGCTTTTTACAAAGATTGCTGATGGGATACTATACTATACGTTGAGAGCGATAGATAACCTATAAAGATCATAATATATGATATAATTAAATATAAGTACTTTTATGGAGAGTTATTTTACATGTTATTTGATTATCTTGCAATTCTGTCCATTTATAAAACAAAAGGAACAGCACCAGCTAGGGGAGGTTCATATACGTATATGGGGTCCATTTAGATTTAAAACGTTAATTTTAGTTCCACTCAATTTTCAATAGTTAGACCATTGATTATTGAGATGATTTTGATGAAATTTATTATAAATTAGTCAAACCATTTACTTGCTAGACTGACAAATCTCATTCACAACATTAAAAGAAAAAGATAACATTACTATATTTGTTTGTATTCCTTTTATTTTTTTTTTGACTGATCGCAATTTTTGATTATTATTTGTAAGCATATAATTCTTTATTTACAATAAGTATCTCATATATTATTGTATTGTTAAATTAAATTAAAATATACTTTTAGTTTGTTTTGTGTAATTTATCATCTATTTTTAATTTAAATTTTGTAAAAAAGGTTTTTCAATTAGGCTTTTGTTTGTATTATCGTTTTTAATTTTGTCCCTATCATCTATTGCTTTAGTATTATAAAATTGACATAAAGTTAACGTAAAACATGGAGACAAAACTATCATGGACCAAATATATATATATATATATATATA